GTACAACTCGTACTACAGTGCGTAAGTTCGCACACGACTGTATCCCTACCGGACCCCCTGTGTCTTCCCAGCCGCATAGCCTGAGGGGCGAAGCGGCGCAGTGGGTTGAAGAAGAATGCCAGCGGGGCCAGTTGGTTCGCGGCAGTTCGGCCTGGGGATCAGCTCCCTTCCCTACGAAGGAGATGCCGAGCCATAAGGTCTTCCGGAAGCGAAGGCTTGTGGTGGACTATCGGCGCGTGAACGCCCGAGTCAAGCGGTCTACCTACTACTGCCGGCGGGGCACTGATGTGCTCGCCGCAGCGGTGGGCTCCGTTTGGTACACCTTTGTGGATGCTGTGAGTGGCTTTAACCAGATCCGCAACACAAAAAGGGCTAGAGAAGTCCTGGCCATCGTCGCCCGTTCCGGGAAGTACCTCCCTGTCGGGTTGACCTTTGGCCCTGTGAACGGCCCCGACGATTTCAACTTTGTCGTGGATCGCGCCTACGCCCCAGGGCGTGGCAGTAGGTTAAGGTTCACTAAGGAGTGGATCGCCTACGTGGACGATCTCACCGTCCGTAGCGGACGAGTGATCGATGGGACGCACAGTGAGGCCGAACAGGCGATCCGTGACGCGTGTTCTAAAGGAAGCGTCGCGGCTCCTCAGTCCGCGGGCGCTGCTTTGGGAGCGCTGGGCGTCCGCCAGCAAGGCGCCGCCGACAAACGCGCGGGGCGTGACTCGGCCAAAGTTGATACCAATCATCCCACGCGATTCTCTGTCCGCCGGCCAGAAAGGCTAGGCCCGCCACGGGTACCTAGCACACAAAGTCTCTGACCCCGGGCGGCCAGAAGTGCTAGGCCCGCCACGGGTGCCTGCAAGAAGAGAACCTGACCCGGGCGGCCAGGTGTACTAGGCCCGCCACGGGTGCCTAGTAAAGAAGTACGGTCCCAGTTGCTCCTAAGGAGGGTAAGGGGGGACAGAAGGGCAGGAGGCCGAAGGAGAAAGGGCCGGAAACCTGCAAACAGGCTTTTGAACTAGTCTCGAGCCAGTACCGCTGCACACGGGTACAGGCATACCTAGCAGGAGCAAACAACTAAGCTGCTACCTAGCCTGACCTGCTGCACCTCACTGCGCCTGTCAGAAACCCTTGCACATGCACTCGTGTACGGACGATACGAGCACGCCTCCAGGGCCATGACCGGCGACCAGACAGACGGCCCGCCCAGGAACGCCCCGACAAGCCCGCAAACCCAGCCAAACCCAGACAGCCCAAGCCGCCATGGGTGGCCGCGGAAAAGGATACGGCAAAGGGCGCCAAGGAAAGTCGCGCCGCAGCCTTGAGGATGACCCCGTGGCTTGTGAAAAGAAGATAGTTACCTGTCTTCGCCATGGGACTCTTGGCATGTCCGGCTTCTTTCTGGAAGGCGGGTTCTTGCCTGTACCCGACCTTTGGGCGCAGCTCGGCGCGTGTCTGGCGCAGGACAGGATCCGCGCCTATCAGGGGCATAGCGCGGATTGCGGTCATGATCTCGCTCACATGTGCCCGCGTTGGTGAGCTTGGAGCGAGAGTTCCAGTGTCCATTCATATGGCACGGAACTGACTTGCATGCGGTTCCTGGAATCGTTCGCGATGGCATTGTTCCAGGTGGCGGGCCGGGAGGCCGCCTCGCATGCCACTGGCAGGGTCCACCGCCCTCGAGAGAGGGCGTCCCCTGTTACCAGGGGGTCCGTGGAGTCGTGCTTACGGGGATCGTTCTTGCCGGGTCGCAGCGCTACTCACGCTTGATAGCGCAACAGCGCCCGGACCTTGGCCTAGTGTACGAAGTCGGCTGACCTCAGAAGGCCCGAGGGCTCTTCTGCGAGGAGCTCTTCCGTTCCTTTGCGCCCAACCGGCCGCTTGTGAGGATGCGAGCGGTGCAGGGGCCGCAAGGTCGCGGGAAGTGCCGGTTCGGAGCTTCCGCACACGAGAGCGCGGCCGAAGGTGCCTCCACGCCAAAGGCCAAGCCTGGTGATCCTGCCTACATTCCTCCTGGCCAAGACAGCATCACGAGAAAGGCGCCGCCTTCCCCGTTTGTCCCGCTGATGACCCTGATAGGGACTTCCTCCTCCAAGCCAAGGAGGGCCTTCCAGTGGGGATACTTCATCCGCTACCGAGAACCCCTCATGTCTGCGAGGAGCAGACCAAGTGGCCTCTCGATAAAGACCCCTGGGAGCCTGGACTGCTATGGGTTCCCAGCTACGGCTCGGCAGCGACCACCTGGACTTTGCGACGGAGAAGTTCGAGGAGGAGATAAAGGAGGGCATGATGGAGAAGCTA